TTATTGAACAATGTCGTCAAAACTGCTAAGCATTGAACTGATAGTTTACTGCTAGTTTTCCTACTTCTCTAGGTACGTTAATTTTGTCATTTTGTAACTCGCAACTCATTGTTTGCTACTTGACCAATTCAGCATCTCATCCTGGCTGAATCATTGACTCAATGCTGACATTCTCTCAACCCACCTCCAAGTCTCTCTGTCGTCATTGCCTCCAGTACTTCTACCTTAGTCCATTGAATGATGTTGCTCTACCAGTCTTGCTTTGATGTCCTCTATCTCTGATTTCAATAAACCTTTAATGGGCAATAACAATTGATGCCCTATTCCATTATTGACAATGATATGCTTACAGGGTAATGGTGATGAGTACTGTCATTTCAAAGTGACTAAACACAAAGACAAAGGCTTTATCACTCTTCAGTCTCTAAAAAACAGAGGCATCTATGCTGGATTTGCCACTAGTGGAATTGCTAGACCTACTGTGGATACTGGAGAACGTAATGTCAGGTTTTATCCAGAAGTTGTGCAATGTGAGTAACAACTCTTGGGATATATATGCACATCCATTCAATTCTTGATTTGATTCAAGATGACCGAATGATATTATGGGGCCTTGATGCACATTATTTATTTTTCGAACAGCTTTGAATTACCCGACTAGTGGCATATTTTTTTTAATGAAAACTGTTTCAGAACCATAATAGATCATGTCACACACATGTATATGTTTGATGATCAGATTCTAGATGGCCAAATGATGACCATTTTAATGTTATAAATGCATCAAAATTAAAACTTGGTGCATACATTGAACATAATGGGATCATGCTTGCACTGTCATTATATTGAGTTTCAAAAAAGAGAGGAGAATTTTTGGTTGTGTTTTACTTTTTGACTCCCGTGTGCGAAGCACACAATGGGAGTCTTTGCAGTTAGTGTGTCTGTATGTGTGTGTATGTGTATGTGTATGTGTGTCTGTCTGTTCCACTGATATCTCAAGAACCATACATTGATTTTTGATGAAACTTGGTGCATAGATGCTCTGGGCCAATGCGCAGATTTGATTAGGTTTTGGTAAAAATCCGTGCATATTAATTACCTAATTTGCATGATAATTAGCTGATTTTTAGCTGTTCCATGACTGTTCCACTGATATCTAAAGAACCACTCATTGGATTTTGATAAAACTTGGCACATAGATGCTCTGATCTAATGCACAGATTTGATTAGTTTTGGGTAAAAATCTGCAATATTAATTACCTAATTTGCATAATGATTAATCAATTTTTGGCTTTTCCACTGATAACTAAAGTACTAATCATCACATTTCAATAACACTTGGTACAGAGATGTCATAGGACACTGCACAGACCTGATAGTTTTTAGGGTAATATCACTACATATTAATTACCTAATTTGCATAATTAATTAATTTTCAGCTTTTGATATTTCAAGTAGTTATCATCACATTTTAATAAAACTTGGTACATAAATGTCATAGGACACTGCACAGACCTGATAGTTTTTAGGGTAATATCAGTACATATTAATCACCTAATTTGCATAATTAATTAGTTTTCAGCTTTTGATATTTCAAGTAGTAATCCTCACATAGTTACTTAAAGACTGCGCAGCGACCTGATTAGTTTTGGGGTAAATATTTGTGCATATTAATTAACTTATTAGCATAATTAGTTAATTTTGTCCATGAATGTTCCACTGATATACATGTATAAAGAACCACCAATTGGATTTTTAATGAAACTTTTAAAGAGTACTCATCATCACATTTCAATGAACATAGGACTATGCAGAGACCTAATTAGTTTTTGGTAAATATTTATGCTTATTAATCACCTAATTAACATAATTAATTAACACTGACAATAGACAGGCCCGATCAATTAATATTAATTCTCTAATGATAATTCATAGTTTTTTTGTTCTAATCACATTTCAATGAAACCTGGTACATAGATATTACATCACACAGACCTTATTAGTTTTACACTCAAATCTGTTCATATTAGTTACCTGATTTACATAATTAGTTTTCAGTTTTCCATCAATATCTCAAATACAAGTAATTTTGAATTAATTTTTAATGTGTCTTCAATACTCTCAGCACACACAGTTCTTTCTAAGCTTTCTTTGATCTTCCCATGTATATTAACTCTGTAATTTGTATAAAACCCAATTTTTGTTTTAACATGTGACCTTAAGCAATCTATTCTCACAGTATCAGCATCTTCCAATACCAATATTAATATATTTTGTTTAATTGTTAGGGGGTATGAAGAAGGGTACAGATATTGTACCATCACCAAGAACACCACCATTAATTATAGATGATGAACCAAAGAAAACTACATACCTAGGTAAATGTATATTTAGTCCCCGTTCAGACGAAGTCCGAAAACTGGGATTTATAATTCGGTCTCCGTCCATGCTTCTGTGTATCCGTCCGTCCAGAGTCATATTGCAGAATCCTTTGGATCAATTTCGTTCATTCTTTGCATGTGCCTAGTACCTTATGTGGGACATATGCACATGCAGTGGTTTAGCGATTCGATTCAAAATGGCCGACTGGCAGCCATCTAGTTTTTTGAAATTTGGACATGCTTTGTCAGTTTTCATTCAAATTTGGTACATAGATTATACATGTTAGGATACATGTCCTCTGACCATCCGTCTGTGCGTCCGTTCGACTGTCTGTGTGTCTGTCCGTTTGAGGTCATATTTCAGAATCCTTTGAACCGATTCTGTTCATTCTTTGCATGTGCCTAGTACTTTATGTGGGACATATGCACATGCAATGGTTTAGCGATAGGATTCAAAATGGCCGACTGGCAGCCATCTTGTTAGTCCCTGTTTGGACGCAGTCTGAAAACGGGGACTCATGTTTTGACCTCCGCGTGTCCGTGCGTCCGTGCATGCGTCCGTACCTGTATCTTAGAAATGCCTGGATCAGTCACAATCAAACTTCACACATACATCATACATTATATTATACATATGCATATCAATTTGTTTCACGATCTGATTCAAGATGGCCGAATGGCGGCCATTTTTGTGCTAAAAAATCATCCAAAATCAAGCATTTCTCGGCTGTTTACAGATAGATTTTGTTCAAAATTGGTATATACATTATTGGACCTTGATGCAAATAATTTTGTTTTTCAGATAAGATTCAAAGTGGCCGACTGGTGGCCATTTTGTTTTAATGAATGTGGTTCTTGTGCCATATCTCTGACTTGCTTTCACTGATTATGTTCAAATTTTAAATATTCATTATACATCATGTCATAGATAAACAGATATATTGGTTTGATGATCCTATTCAAAATGGCCAAATGGTGGCCATTTTTGTGCTAAAAAATCATCAAATATCAAGCATTTATGGATGGATTTTATTCAAACTTGGTACATATATTAGACATTACAGGTTCCTGATGCACATCTTTTATTTTTCAGATCGGATTCAAAATGGCTGTCTGGCGGCCATTTTGTTTTAATGAATGGGCTTCTAGACCCATATCTCCCACTTGTTTTGACTGATTATATTCAAATTTTAAACATTCATTATACATCACGTCATAGATAAACAGATATATTGGTTTGACAATCCTATTTAAAATGGCCAAATGGTGGCCATTTTCGTGCTAAAAAATCATCAAATATCAAGCATTTATGGATGGATTTCATTGAAACTTGGTACATATATTAGACATTACAGGCTCCTGATGCACATCATTTATTTTTCAGATCGGATTTAAAATGACTGTCTGGCGGCCATTTTGTTTTAATGAATGGGCTTCTAGACCCATATCTCCGACTTGTTTTGACTGATTATATTCAAATTTTAAACATTCATTATACATCATGTCATAGATAAACAGATATATTGGTTTGACAATCCTATTTAAAATGGCCAAATGGTGGCCATTTTCGTGCTAAAAAATCATCAAATATCAAGCATTTATGGATGGATTTCATTGAAACTTGGTACATATATTAGACATTACAGGTTCCTGATGCACATCATTTATTTTTCAGATCGGATTTAAAATGACTGTCTGGCGGCCATTTTGTTTTAATGAATGGGCTTCTAGACCCCTATCTCTGACTTGTTTTGACTGATTATATTCAAATTTCAAACATTCATTATACATCATGTCATAGATAAACAGATATATTGGTTTGACAATCCTATTTAAAATGGCCAAATGGTGGCCATTTTCGTGCTAAAAAATCATCAAATATCAAGCATTTCTGGCATTTATGGATGAATTTTGTTCAAACTTGGTATATACAATAGACATTATGGGTTCCTGATGCACGTAATTTTTTTCTCAGATTGGCTTCAAAATGGCTGACTGGTGGCCATTTTGTTTTAATGATTGGGCTTCTAGAGCCATATCTCTTAAATGCTTTGACTGATTATATTCAAATTTTATATATTCGTTATACATCATGTTATATATATACATGTATTCAAAATGGCTGATTTTGAATACTGTTCCAGAGCAATATCTCTCAATATGGATAAGTACTTGTTTGATGATCAGATACAAATGTCAATCATTTTAATGTTAAAAAATCATATTCCTGACATGGTTATATTCAAGCTATATTACTATAAACAAAACTATATATCTTAAATTTGATAACTAACGGGGACTGTTCCATGCATAGCTTGTTTTTTTAAAATGTGGTATCTTGGACTTGCTTTGTCAGTTTTCATTCAAATTTGGCACATACTTTATACATGTTAGGATACATGTTCATGACAATTTGTTTCAAAATCTGGTCAAGGATGGCTGATTGACAGCCATCTGACTTTTTGGCCTCACTACTATATTTCCAAGATTTATGTACCATTTTCATTCGTATTTGGCACATACATTATAGATGTCACTTTGTTCCATAATTACATCAAAGATGGCCGAATAACGGCTGTTTTTATTTGTGGCCATATTACTATATCTCTATATCTCTGGGAGGTCATCATGAAACACATGTTCGAATTTGATGTTAATAAAGAATCTGTTGTATCCGCACTTGGGACTCAAATTTCAAGGACATGCTCGCGACAACCCTTCCACTTTAATATGACAAACACAAAGAGAACTTTCAAAAATTTAACAGGGACTATGACTTGTATATCTGGTCATCTGTTCTGCGTTCATTGTTTATCTTTTTTTCTGCTATTTCTTACTGCAGGGATTCGGAGTCAAAACAAAATTGCCAAAATTTAAAAAAGTAAAATTGTATGTGACTGTATAGTTGACTTGAGACACGAACAATAATGTTTTGGCTTCTAATTTTTTTTGTTTTGACACTTAATTTATTTATAAAATTTTCTATAACTAAAAGAGGATGATTTTCAAAATCCGTATATCAATATCAATTAGCGTAACTAGTAACATCACAGCAAATCTATGTGCAGTAGTGAAACTTCATATCGACTTAAAGGGCACACTTACATCACATCAAATCTATGTACAGCAGTGACACTTCATATCAACTTGAAGGGCACACTTACATCACTGCAAATCTATGTACAGCAGTGACACTTCATATCAACTTGAAGGGCACACTTACATCACTGCAAATCTATGTAACAGCAGTGACACTTCATATCGACTTGAAGGGCACACTTATACCAGCAAATCTATGTAAAGCAGTGACACTTCATATTGACTTGAAGGGCACACTTACATCACAGCAAATCTATGTACAGCAGTGACGCTTCATATTGACTTGACGGACACACTTACATCACATCAAATCTATGTACAGCAGTGACGCTTCATATCAACTTGAAGGGCACACTTACACCACTGCAAATCTATGTACAGCAGTGACACTTCATATCAACTTGAAGGGCACACTTACATCACAGCAAATCTATGTACAGCAGTGACACTTCATATCAACTTGAAGGGCACACTTACATCACTGCAAATCTATGTACAGCAGTGACACTTCATATCAACTTGAAGGGCACACTTACATCACAGCAAATCTATGTACAGCAGTGACACTTCATATCAACTTGAAGGGCACACTTACATCACATCAAATCTATGTACAGCAGTGACGCTTCATATCAACTTGAAGGGCACACTTACATCACAGCAAATCTATGTACAACAGTGACACTTCATATCAACTTGAAGGGCACACTTACATCACAGCAAATCTATGTACAGCAGTGACACTTCATATCAACTTGAAGGGCACACTTACATCACAGCAAATCTATGTACAACAGTGACGCTTCATATCAACTTGAAGGGCACACTTACATCACATCAAATCTATGTACAGCAGTGACGCTTCATATCAACTTGAAGGGCACACTTATATCACATCAAATCTATGTACAGCAGTGACACTTCATATCAACTTGAAGGGCACACTTATATCACAGCAAATCTATGTACAGCAGTGACACTTCATATCAACTTGAAGGGCACACGTATATCACAGCAAATCTATGTACAGCACTGACACTTCATATCAACTTGAAGGGCACACTTATATCACAGCAAATCTATGTACAGCAGTGACACTTCATATCAACTTGAAGGACACACTTACATCACAGCAAATCTATGTACAGCAGTGACAAAATGAAAATCCCTTTCAATATATCGTAAATATCATATTTATTTATAGATGGTGACTGGAAGATTTGGTTGAAATCGGGCAAGAAGGGAACAAAAGCACCAATCACGTTTATTGCATATGGCAGGAAAGGCCCATCTGATTTGCTGACACTTGGTAAGAAAGGAGACACTATAGCTGCTGGTGATGAAACTGAATTTATGGTGAGTTTCAATCTTGTCATGTGATTGTCTGATAATTAACAGTGTGCAGGTACTTTTCAATCACTTAATGAATAGCTTAGAAAATAAATTCTGTTTAAGATGATGGTCAGCCCTATTGTTTAGACAATTTGGATGCTTTACAAGTGTAGACAGCAAACAATTATTTTCATTTTCTGTAATTGTAATGTTTAGCAGACCAACCTTGTTTCACTGTGATTCTCATGGTCACTTGTAGTTAAAATGCCTGTGAAATGCCTGCTATTTTCTGGCCAAAAATATTTTATTGTTAAATAAATATTATTATTTGTTATGTTATTAGGTACAAAATAAATTTTAAAGTGAAGAAATGGGTTTCAAATTCAATCTACGCTAATTTTATTTTTTTGTATCTTAAAACGAGGCTCTTTATTAACATCTCTTTGCATACTCAAATACCCCTTGTGATGTCGGAAGGGGAAGTTGCTGGTTAGCATGCATTGCAGATAATGTATAAAAGGCACATTTCTTATTTAATTTTCTCATCTTTGAGTGAATTGCCACTCATGTACTTGTTTCTCATCTTTGAGTGAATTGCCACTCATGTACTTGTTTCTCATCTTTGAGTGAATTGCCACTCATGTACTTGTTTCTCATCTTTGAGTGAATTGCCACTCATGTACTTGTTTCTCATCTTTGAGTGAATTGCCACTCATGTACTTGTTTCTCATCTTTGAGTGAATTGCCACTCATGTACTTGTTTCTCATCTTTGAGTGAATTGCCACTCATGTACTTGTTTCTCATCTTTGAGTGAATTGCCACTCATGTACTTGTTTCTCATCTTTGAGTGAATTGCCACTCATGTACTTGTTTCTCATCTTTGAGTGAATTGCCACTCATGTACTTGTTTCTCATCTTTGAGTGAATTGCCACTCATGTACTTGTTTCTCATCTTTGAGTGAATTGCCACTCATGTACTTGTTTCTCATCTTTGAGTGAATTGCCACTCATGTACTTGTTTCTCGAAAGTACTTGAAAGTTTTATTGTATGGGGTTGAGTTAGATACAAAATATATCATTCTCTTCTGGCATAGCTGGTGTACTGCACAATCAGAGTCACTTGTACTGTGGTCGATGAAGTAGGTTGAAGTGCCGGCATCTATTGTCTAAGTAAGGTTTAATGTCTGGCTCGTCTACTAGTTATTTGTCAGATTACTATGTTCTTACACTCGTGTATTCCATCCATCGTCTAAGTGAAAAAAAAAAGATTCAAAAATAAAATAATTAGAGAAAATGTTTTCATTCTGAACATTGAACTATAACGATCAATGAAATAATAAACAAAATTATATAACGAGTTGATGATTCGTAAATCACAGTTACGAAATGATAGCCACATGCAAATGATTTGACATCCTGTTGAAATGGGTGAACCCGTCGGTCACGACGAGGAAAAGTGTGTGAATAGCGGTATTTGATTGGATAATAAAAATAATTTAATGCGAAACGCAGCAAATATTCAGAGTGTGATTTGAGTTATCGTGATTATCATAATTACGACATCACATTAAAAATACATGGTTGCAAAATATTGACAGCCCACTTGTTACACAGATCAAATTGCAAGATAAGTTCACAGAAGTGTGAAGTCAACACCAATCACAAAACAATTCAGAAACTTTGAGACAGTGTAATTAAAAACAATTGTCAAAGTTTTAGTGCTGCGTAATGGTGAACATGGGCTTGTCTGGAATATAGTTCTTTAAAAAGTGTTACCGGTAGTGCAGTACTGTTCCAGGTTTAGTCATTTTTCGGCACTTGTCTTTAAATCCAAGCTGTTTTTTTTTTTATAAATGAGGACAGATGTTTGGCTGAAGAATCTGCTATAAGGAGAATGTCTATCCCGACTTTTTCTCTGATTATACGGCTTTCATCTACTGATGTCAGACTTTCGGATTGTTTGGAAATGCGTAAATTCTCACGCTATAACTGTAAGCATTGTTGAGTCCACACAAAAACATAACGTTTCAAAAAAAAAACACCGCCAAAAATAACAAGACGAAAAATATGTCAAATTTACTTAGACACGAGAAATCATTTTCAACCAAAAAATCAATAACTGTCTATTTCAGTGCAGCACAAATTCAAAATGGGAAATGTGCGTTGGCATTTCACAGGCACTTTAAATAATTGTTGCAGCAACAAGGTTTACAGCATAACCTAATACTGGAGCATCTATTCTCATTGTGAGGTAAACTGTTACTATGCAAACAACTGCACAATTTGTTAATTAGAAGGCATTTGTGGGAAATAAATCTACCCCCGGTAATTACAGTTTATCCCAGGAGGGAATTAACAGCATTCTTTAGAAATGTTTGATATTTCATAAAATTTACATTTGTGGCTACCTTATACAAATTACTATGGATTACATTGTTTCTTGTGTGGAATAAAGCAAAATAAACTGTTGTTTTGATAGATAAATCTTGGCACTATCACTGACATGTATAAAATACGTCTTGGACTGCAAGAAGAGAATTCTTGGGATGACTCCTGGCATCTTAGTCAAGTACGTATGCAAGACATGGTGAGTAATGAACAGCTGAAATTCAAAGTCAATCGTTGGTTGTCACGAACAGAAGATGATGGCGACTCTCTCAGGGAATTGGCAGTTGTCAAGCCTGGAAGAAAACCATTGCCAAGTAAGTTTATAAGTTTTTTCTGTGACAAATATAGGATTGCACTGATAATATAATATATAACAAGTTTATTTCCTGCTCATGTATGGGCCTTTACCCTGTAAATGACTTATCAATTGCATTGATTATAAACACCGTTAAACATGTCTGATTGTGCAATTGATTTTTCACAGCATGTATTCCTTATAATTTCAGTGGTGAGATATTTTGTCCAAGTCTACACTGGTGATGAACCTGGTTCTGATACTGATGCCAATGTTTATATCTGTATCTATGGTGACAGAGGGGATACTGGGAAGCGGTTGCTACACCGTTCAGATATCAGTGACAAGTTTCAACAAGGACAGGCGAGTAATTATGACAAGTTACTGTACCACACATGCCTTATTATGCATTTCTTCTAATTTATTAATTTATTTCGTGTGACGCTTCCATGTACATGTATTTTCCGTTTGTATTATCTAATGTATATTATTTAGTTCTCTCATACCTCTATCGGAGGAAGCAAAGGGAATAAATTATTATTATTATTATTATTATTATAAAAAATTATTATTACACAAATGGTGAAACAAGTTGACTGTGGTAAAGGGTTTAATTATGTTTCTTCATAATTGTTGTCAAATGTGAGAATGTGTTAACCACTTTATTTTTTTACAGGTGGATTCGTTTGAAATTGAAGCTATTTCACTGGGAAAACCTAGGAAAGTAGTAATATCACATGATGGTTCTGGTCCCGGTGCTGGATGGTTTTGTCAAGAAGTGGCCATCAGAGACTCTAAAGGGTCAAAGACAGAGTATGTCTTTCAATGCAATAAATGGTTGGATGAAGGCTTAGATGATAAGAAGATTGAAAGAGAATTAAAATTGACTGAAATAAGAGAAATAGAGCGTAAGTAATTCAATGGTGATTACTTTTTTTGTGTGTGCAAGATTTCTTATACCCTAGTACATATACTGCTGATAATTCCCTTGTCTTAGTGTGTTGGAGCAGGGTATTATTTGTTTTTCACCTTTTCCAACAATAACTTTAAAACCAATCGTTGCATTTTATAGAAACAGTGCACAACCCTTATAATTTTGGGGTTGAAACCCTTGCATACTAATTAACCTGATTTGTATAATAAACAATTTTCAGCTTTTCCAATAACAATATCAACGTCAATATCTCACGAACCAATTATTGCATTTCATTAGTTTTAAGGTGATTTCCATGCATATTAAGTAGCACATTTCAGCCTGTGTAAGCAAAATCTCGAAAAAAACTAATTTTGCTCAAATTTGTAATATACTGATGCTGAGCATCTGCTGGCTTAACCTCAGCTGCCATTGTTCCTTCACTGACTGTTGAAAATTTTTATTTCCTGGAGATGTTTTATGAAACAACAATGATTGCATTTATTTTGTGTTCACATGGGAGCTTTCTTTAGTTCTCTTTGATTTAAATATTCAAAATTGTTACTTCATTTGCCTCTAATTATTTAATTCTCATACACATTAATGTGTTCATTGGAAAAATTAAACATATCATAGACCTAGAAAAAAGTGTTGCAATACAAACTCTGATGTTATGACAAACTTACAGATAAATGAAAGATTTTCCACTGTATTTTTATAATCCACATTAAGATTGTTTTACCTAATACCGAAGTGAATTAGGCCACACAAAAAAATTGTTTTGTTGCCCTCAGCGACCAAAAAAATATGAAATAGGCCCAAATATTAAAAACTCGTCATTTTAAGGAGTAAAAACATGTTTCCTCTAAAAATTAACGGTCCCGGACCGTTGTTTGATCCCCAGGGTCCTCGAGGGATAAGTGGCGACTTTGAACCTTGG